CCGTCTTTTATGTGGCATGACAGATCGCTGTATAAACGCCTTGGAGAGCCGCTTCTGGGACGGTTCAGAGACGTGCTGGTATAATCCCAACACAAGCACTGACTAGAGCGGCCGCGATCAGCTCCAGTTCCCGTGTCTGAGCCGTGACGCCTCGCAGATTTGTGCAGAGAGGAGCGCGAGTGAACGCGATCATTCCTTCCTCTGTACTACTAGTTTTAACGCGAATAAACATGACTGAACATCTCAGGATTTTTTCATTGATCTTTTCCATTCAATTTATAATTTTATTTTATACTGCAAGCACTATAAAAGCACCACAAATGTAGTCTACACAACTAGTGCACTACACTCCAAATAACATTTCAGTCACTATGGTCACTGTGAGGTGTTCTTGTACGAAAAATGTGTTATAATTCTTGATTAAAAAAATTCCACAAAAAATTGATGAACACATATTATTGAGGTTTGTTTTCGCGTGTGACACAAGCACATTTGACCTTTTATTTGCTTTTATGTGCTCTATATATGTGTGCTGATCAATGTTTATTCTGTGAATAAAAGCATAATTTAAATCTGTTCATCTTATGAAGCAATCATGTCTCTTAAGAAGACTGGGACTAGCTTGACACGCAAATGTACATAAGTTAAATTTTCATGTATGAAATATAGTGTGAAGTACGAAGTAGAAACATATATGGAACCTATTAGAAACTGAAACAATTCTGTATATATATATATATATATATATATACACACATATAGAGAATGTATATATATATAAAAAAAAAAAAAAAAAAAGTGTAGTTTTTCCCCCTGCTGTACCGAAATCATACCAAACCGTGACGTTAAAACCGAGGTACGTACCGAACTGTCATATTTGTGTACCGTTACACCCCTAATATATATATATAATTACAGTTAGTGGATGAGCGATTTAAACTAAATCTCTCAATATTTTTCTGCCTTTGACAATATTCAATATACATGTTTATGCACTTGTTCAGAAATGGCTTAGAAACACTAAAACACTAGTTTAAAACAATCAGTGCTCGTTTCCCCCAATGTTTTGCACTAAATTAACACTATTATTAATTTGTAATTCATAACCTTTATTTATAGAAAATGACAATACACAATAAATATCAATATTTACCTACTTTATTTTACTAATGCATTCAATAAATATTATTTTTAATATATAAAAAAACTGGAAACTGGATTTCTTGGAATATTTGTAGTGATGATGAATCGTGAAAAAGAATCATAGTTTTAATTTGATTCTTTGTAACGGACAATTTGAACCGATTCATAAAAATTAATCAAATTTACGAACTCTTAAGGCCAGTTCACAACCAAGGAAGAACTGTAACTATAAAGTTTAAATAATCTAATGATAGTCTAATTTAATGAGAAAGGGAAGTCAACACCACCAGCTAAATGATAACGACATATTGGTTAGAGCACTTTCAGAACTACTTTTTCCAACTGATGAGCAATAAAAAACATTGCCTAATCAGAATCCAGCTGATGTTAAAGAGCATGAGCATGTATAGTGGCAAAGGACATAACCGCAGCATACACTTATAATAAACAGAATGTTGTTGTGCATTAATGTGGATGCTAATATAGTTATCTTTATAGTTGTTGTTAAAGTTACTGTTCTTGGTGCGAACAGGCATTAAAACTACATCTGTTACTGATGTTTAAACTAGAAATGAAAGTTGGAAGACAAGGATAGATCACAAAACTAGTCTGGTCTTTAGGAAGCTTAATGGTCAAATACTGTAAAACAGCATTGCTATAATCATTGCTATATTCAGATGAATATCCTGAATCACTTGAAAACACATCAGATTATGAAAGAAAAATGGTTTATGAAGTGTTTCATGTTGATTTGAGCTATAATTTGATAAGTAACATTAACTCCATTAATTTTAAGTAAACTTATTTTAAAATAATATTATATTAATCTTAGAATTATTTAAGTTGACTACTCTGTATAGTCGAAACTCAAATGCAGAAAATGTTCAATATGTTTACAGGAAAGGTATATATTTTTACAGGGGAAAATACCACAAATATTTACATGCTGAAATATGCCAAATGCTCTTATAAACTAAATTGGTGTCTTTTGCTCTAAGTGCTTATAAGGAAACCATAAAAGTAGCATGTGAGAATATGGTTTTGTGTCATTCAGTTCACACACACCCACCTGCCCTCATTATACTGTGCTCCTCCCAGGAAGCCATATTTATCAGTACGCCTCACTGGACCGTTGATCTCCGAGTCTGACCCAAAAGAGCTGCCGTCCTCGCCGAGCCCCGACAGAGACTCCAGCGTGCCCGACATTAGGCTGGCTGACTCCAGGTAGCTGAGCGTGTCCGGGGCTGGTCGCGAGTAAGCAGAGGGCAGAACCACTGACCAAGCGGACTCCTGCACCAGTACGGCTGGGGGCTCAGCCCTGGAGGGTGTGCAGGGGGGCTCAGGGGTCACCTTGGCAGTGCTGGGAGTGTTGGGTTCGGGGTTCTGGGTGGACTCGTGCTGGGGGACTGTTTGTGCTTCTGTTTGCCTGGAGTCTTGTGAAGAGGGGGCCGGATTGGAAATGGGAGCAGGAGGAGTAAACTGAGGAGGAATGTCCACGGGGGGAGCAGGACTGGAAGTCTGGCTGACTTGAACGTTGGGATAGAGATTAGGACTGGGATTAAGTTCAGGCGATGATGGCATCTGTTGCTCTTGTGCTTCAGTGTGTCGCTCCGTTTGGCCGATTAAATCATTTTTCCCATTTCTCTCTCCATCTGGAGCAGCTAGTCCCTCTTCAGGAGGACCAGCAGCGCTCACTGATGCTGTTGAAGAGAGAGCGGCACTGTTTTTGCCTGGTGTGCTCTCCCAAGAAGAAGAGATTTTTCCGCTTGCCTGTAATGTTGGGTTTCCCATCACGGCTCGGTCCCCGTAGAGAGATGATTTTGGGATGGGAGATTCTGAGGGGAGAGGCTGTGGGCTGGAGGGAGCAGGGACTGATGGGTCAGCCATACTGGGAGGGGAGGGAGTGAGGGCGGTGATTTCAGCCATAGCTGCTCCTCACTGATACAACTGATCAAAAGAGAAACAAGAATTATATAGTCAGTAATTATTCCTTAGAAGACAAGAATAAAAACAAACACTGTGATATCATTAAAAGCATGAACTCATTTCGTGAATGGTTTGCAATGAAGCAGGTGTTTAGATGTGACAAATACTCTCACAGTTTGCAGGAAAAGAAAGAAAACATTCATGTAGAATTTTTTGTATCAAATCCTCTGTCAAATTCCACAAGCATGTCTCACATCATAGCACCCCAAAGAAAAAATGTACTCATTAGTTTCACCTGAAAATAATAACATACACACCTAAAAGGCATTAAACTAAAACGGCGTTGCCTAAAACAATCTCTGAGCACTCTGACTCAGGGGCGTAGCCAGCGGACCGGCCTGAATGGCATAGACCCCCCCACTATGATGAATAGGCGTTTCTTATACATATATAATATTTGTTAAATAATTGTTGTTTAACCTATTTTAACACAATTACAAAACTATTCTAACATCTCAAATATTAAAATAAATAAAATGTGTTTTTGCATAATTCTTGATGAGTTTGATTGACAGCCTTGTTACACAATTAGGTGTTATCCAGGCTGTCTCAGGCATGACGCGCCTGTGGATTTGTGTGTTCTTCCATTCAGTTAGCCTACAACACACTACGGAAGACACTACAGTCAGGCTGATTATGAATGTAATTTGGCTCAGCCTGTTTTCAGTTGGTGTTTAAATTAGTTTAGTGTGTGGTGTCTAATAAATTTAAGACCAGCTGTTGTCCCATTTTATAATATTTGCAAACTGACACGCTGCTTCCGTGTACAACTGTTGGCGCAAGCGACATTAAAGTGATTATTACGTTTTGAATATGGATATTTTTCTAACAAAAACGCATCGATTCGCTACAGGAGGCCTTTGTTCACCACCCCGGAGTTGTGTGAGACACTTTTTATTATGGATGGGTGCTTTTTATTTCACTTCTTTTGGACTGATGCACTGCAACACTCGCTGAGTGCCATTAAACAGCTTGAAAGATCAAAGACAATTTTTAATATAACTCCGACTGGATTCGTCTGAAAGAAGAAAGTCATATACACCTAGGATGACTTGAGGGGGAGTAATTTATGGACTTATTTTCATTTTTGGGTGAACTAACCCTTTAACTTGTAGATCTTAGAGAGAGCTGCAATGTGTATTTAACCCAGAATACACACGACCGTACAAAAGTTTGGGTCAGTAAGAATTTTAAATATTTTTGAAAGAAGTCTCTTATGCTCACCAAGGCTGGTGATCAGTAATACTGTAAAGAGAGAAATATTGTGAAACTGTATCACAATTGAAAATGACACTTTTTTTATTATATAAATGCAATTTATCCTGTAAAATAAATCTTTTGTAACATTATAAAAGTCTTTACTGCACCTTTTTCATTTCCAATGCACCTTGCTGAGTAAGTATTAAATTAGTCTTAACCAGTTTAATTGAATTAATAAATATAAAATAAATATTACATTTTAAAAAAATCTGACTGACCCCAAACTATTGATTGGTGGTCTACCTTTAAACAGTCACTTTGACAACCACATTAAAAGTTATGTTTTTATAGATTCTCCGTTCAATTGAAGAAAACGTGAAGATCTAACAAAATATGACCCATCTCAAATAAATGTACTTCTAAACATACAGACTGCTATAACAAGAGTAGAGTATAACCACAAAAAATACAATACAGCAGAAGATGAAAAGGAGACAACCAGCCATTTATGCAAAAATTATACCACATAAACAACCCGTCTACACTTAAATTAAGAATAGGGTATATGTCGAACATCACCTGACCAAACCCGGAAAACAGGTCTCATTGCTTCCGCTTGTCGGAGAACGTGTTAACAGACGTATTAAATAATAGCGATATCTATGGACTTTTAAGATAATCAGTTAAACTAGCTAGCTGTTTTTATTGTTGACGTTTTATAACAATTTTATATCTAAATGTGAAAAGAATAAAAAAAAATAAATAAACTTTTAGATATCAGTCCGCATATGTGATGGACATTGGTTATGATCATCATTGGTATCTACTTTGAAGGCATCTTGAGTAAAACTGCTTCATATTTAACTAAGCATATGCAAAACGCTTGAACCGGAAGCGACGAGACCCGGTTAACAGAATACGGAAATCTGTTGCACATAACCCCTATTAAAATAAATAAAATGTAACAACATGTGACATGATGCATTGTATTTAACCATATCCTCAAGAGTAAGAAACATTCAGAGGACCTTTGTATTGTTCAGTAAAGACAATGGTGATCTGTTTCACAAAGAGTCTCATTTATAGTGAATTATGAAGACGCAGACAAACTACAGTGATTTGATTACAATGTAAGGCTGCGCTAGTAATACAGGTCCAGTTTAGATGTATAGGAACAGGGTACCACTATTTCCTCTTACACTAAGATCTGCCACCTAGACTTCTGCATGATCTATATATAAATGTGTCTGAGTACAGATGCTGACAGGAGGTGAAAAGGAAGTGGTTCCTTGACAGAAGCAATGTGGCTGAATATTCGAACACGCCTGTGAATCCCAAATGCTGTCTAGGCAGACAGCTCAGTAGGTTTGGACACACAGCCCATGTATGATGGTCAAACTGTGGGGTGTCTACAAAAAAATCTGATGGAAGATTCACAGAAGTCAGATGACTATTAAAAAGTAGCGTGTTATAAAGCATTATCTCACAACCAGCTATTAATAACCTCAATGCAAAATTAGTTTTTTTTTTGTTTTTTGTGGTAGATATGGAAAGCCTTACTCATTTTCACAAATCTTTTTTTTTGTTTGTTTTCAAACAGGTGCAAAAACAAGTCAGTGATTCATTTTACACAGTGTAAATAACCATGCGCATAAAGTCAGCTCAAAAAGACCAAAGTAATTTGGTAACTAATTATAAATGATAATTTTCATGAGCCAATACTAATTTACATTCTGGCTGAAAAACGTTTTGTTTGTATGTGATGATAAACCTGTCATACATTTGTAACATTTATGCTGCTATTTGATTCTTAATGTATTTTTTCTTCCCCAACAGTCAAATCCTCCAAACACTCTTGGAGTCAGTTCGACCAAGTAAGTTGTTGACTCGCGAACAGCTCGGATCGATTAAAAAGCCCAAATCGAGAATTAATCATTCATACCGGTTCAATCGATTCACTAAAAAAGATTATATTCAAAAGAACGATTCGTTCATGAATGCTACTTTGTGGGACTCCACCCATACACACCAACTGTGCTCGTTCCGGGTCTCCAAGCCTAATAATATCTAAAGTGTGAGGACGAATAAGTTGTAAACTAACCACACATGTGTACTTTTAGTGTCAGTTTTAAAAAAAGGCAATGGTGTAAACGTGTGAGCGGTCAGTTGTGGCGTAATTAACCACATGTGAGGTGACTGGACAATAATACGCTACCGGATACCGGGAAACATCAATTTAAAAAGGCCAACATCTACACCAAATACATTACGATTTTAAACGCAAGACTAGTCATAAAACACAAGTGAGCAGATAGCACCTGAGACTGCTTAACCCGCAGGAGTCGCTGGATTTGTGACTTCCACGTTTAACCTAAAGCTGCTAACTTAATCGTGCTGTCCGATCTGTCACGCAACATCCTCTCAACAACACAAATATGCCCTTATTATGCTGAGAATCACCATTCACTCCATGGTACATAAGATGTGTATGAAATTGAGAAGTTTCTTTACTGTAATGTACTCATTTAGCCGTTGAATTTGGCCTGCTAACTTGCTAGCTCATGTCTACAGTAACGGCAGTGCGGCCGATCAGCTCAACTTCCCGGTTTACGGCGCAGGAAAATAACTTAGTGCTATTAATTGTGTTCATCTGATTTGTTACATCTGTTCCCTCTGAGAAGAGATAAAAGAGAAGAGCGTGCTCATCCTCCTCATTATTCAGACTCACCCGCAGCTGTGGGATCCGTCCGTCCGTCCGTCCGTCCCGGGGGGGCTCCTGTCTGCTCCGGTTACCGTGACCGCCCCCCCGCCGCCGCTGAACGGATGTAAAGGCGCGAGCGAGACAGGCCGCTGGTAAGCCGCTGGGCCGGTAGAAAAGTTCTAATGATAAAGCCTACAGTACGGTTGGGGTTCTGAGTGTGGAGGGTGGTGTGCTGCTGGGCTAACGGTGTTAGCTAACGCTAAACACTGCCGCTCCGTACGGGGTTTCCACTCATCCGCGCGCCAACAGATCCGTATCACTGTTGGCATTGAGTACACTTGTGCGTTGCGTTTTAAAAATGTCAGGAAACCATCTGAAATGTCAAACGGGTAGCATCCCTGTAAGAGATAGACACGGCCCTGCTGACATTTCGCCGTGTCCGCATTTCCTACAACCAACTCTGAGCGTGCGCGCACCCGTGCCGCAAGGCGTGAACGCGCTGTATCTACTGACGCAACGACGCCCAGCCAGGTCAATGCAGACCACTCGCGTTGAAGTCTATGGTTGAAATGCTTTAACAAATAAAGCTAAATTATTTGTTTTTAGTTCTTTTCCAGATTTCGCAAGTATTTTTAATTTACATCACTGTATTTAATTTCTCCTCTCCTATTTTGTCCATTCTCTCGGTTTTATTTTATACTTCTCATTGTTATTGTCTGTATATTGTTTTGAGCATTAATTTAAAAAAGCACTAACAATGGATCTTCTTCATCCCTGAGAGCAATTTGGTCTTTTATTACGATATATAGCATATGATATAATAAGATAAGGATAATTTTGATAATTTAAAATAACAAATAAATATGTTTAAAATATTTAATATAAAATAAATATATATATGTTAATACAAATTAAATGTTAATTGTTCTTTTGGTTACACTTTTTTTTTTAAGTTCCATCTAGGGGTGTGCGATATATATCGTCTGCGATAATATCGTAATTGTTGATTTACCGATGTGCGATTTGACCATTCAAAAAATGATTCAAAACACCCCTACAGAGTGCACGCATACATTAGGCTAAGTGAAGTCTAGACCAGTGTTTCCCAACCGGGGTGCCGCGGCACTACCGTACTACCGGTTGTAGTACAGTATTGTTTCTGTTTGCAATAGCCCTACTGTGTTGTAACATGGTGTGGTATATGGCCAACTCTGGTAACGCTGCCCTCTCATTCATTGATCTGCTAACCGCTATGTTATGCTCGCATGTTCTGATAATAATAGCTTTCTAGGACTAAACATTATTTGGATAATTGGTAAAAAAATATATATATTTTTTAAATATCTTAACCCTACTGTTAGACCTACCTGAAAAACTAAAAAGCAATTTATTTAATTCGAAGGCCTGTCGTTATTTTTTTATTTGTGCTATTTTTATTAATTTATTTATTTGTGCTTATTTTATTACTGACTGCTTATTTGTAATTTTTTATTCAATTCAAAGTTTGAAATCAAGCTATCTCGTGCTACTGCACCAAAATTACCCCACTGTAAAATTAAAAAAACAATGAGTGAGCAAAAATTTGTGAGATAGCTAGTTATAATGGTAATTAAATAATGTTTACATATGTATAAAAGCCTACATTAAAATCTGTCATATAAATTAGTCTCTTCATTAGAAATTAGCCTACTGATTGCCACCATTGATGGACAATTTTTTTTAATAATATAAAAAATATCTGTATGACATTATATTCTGCAGTTCTTCCCTGTTGTACCGAATATCTATACTTTTCAAATTATCATACCGAAGTTAGAATTTCAAATATTGTGACAATTAATTTTGTAGGGTGCCACAAGTTTGTTAAAATTTCCAAAGGGTGCCGCGACTAAAAAAAGGTTGGGAAACACTGGTCTAGACTAGCGCTAGTGCGCATTTAGAGTGTGTTCTTTCACTGCGTGATTCAGTCTATTACAAATTTACAATACATTTAGAATGATCACAAATTCAATACATGGGGACATAAAATGTATATATTTCTACCATTTCATATAGTTAATCAATATCACACAAAGAGTGCCGTTTCTTTCTCCAACAGCTACCATGATTACAATCGTAGGCCCCAATATCGATTTTTACAACAGTTAAAAAAACAAGTTAATTAAGAGACTTATTAGACACCATATTGCCTGCTTTTGTTCTATTTCGACAACAAAAGTAATTCCAAACACAGCCACAGAGCTGTTTTTGGTCTCTGAGCAACATGACGGTGTTTAGCTCCCGAATGAATCAACTGTTTAAATGATTCGGTTCAATCGCAATGACTCGCTTATTAACAGTGATTTGCTGCCACCTACTGGCGGTTTTAATTTCACATTTAAAGTTTATTTTCATTATTTAAATCATTTCAAATAACAGTATTCAACGTTTTATGTTTAAAATATCAAAACATTATTTATGCATTTGCAAGTGCAGGTTAAATGCATTCATGTTCTGCACTAAACAGTAGTGTGTAAATACATCTACAGGTGCATCTCAATAAATTAGAATGTCGTGGAAAAGTTCATTTATTTCAGTAATTCAACTCAAATTGTGAAACTCGTGTATTAAATAAATTAAATGCACACAGACTGAAGTAGTTTAAGTCTTTGGTTCTTTTAATTGTGATGATTTTGGCTCACATTTAACAAAAACCCACCAATTCACTCTCAACAAATTAGAA